ATTAGTTAATTCATATCTTAAGCTCAACTATGTTTTATATCATATAAGTATATTAGCTAATAAACTCTAAAGAGTTTTTTTGGCTTAAGTTTCATCATATCTTAAGCATTATACATTATAAAATGTATTGCTAACAAACTCTAGCTTAGCTTAAGTTAATTCATATCTTAAGCTCAGTACTATGTTTATATCATAAGTATTTTAGCTAACAAACTCTAAAGAGTTTTTTGCTATTATATATTTAGCTTAAGTTTATTCATATCTTAAGCATTATGGTTACATTATAAAATGTATTAGCTAACAAACTCTACGGAGTTTTTTGCTATTATATATGTAGCTTAAGTTTATTCATATCTTAAGCTCAGTACTATATTATATCATATAAGTATCTTAGCTAACAAACTCTAAAGAGTTTTTTGCTATTATATATTTTGCTTAAGTTTCATCATATCTTAAGCATTATGGTTACATTATAAAATGTTTTAGCTAACAAACTCTACGGAGTTGTTTTGGCTATTTAGGTAGCTCAAGTTAATTATATCTTAAGCACAGTACTATACTCATATCATAAAGTATATTAGCTAATAAACTCTAGGGTGTCTTTTGCTGTTATACGGTACTGTGATTCTTTATCATACTATATATATGCCTACAACTCTTAGGAGTTCTACTATTATATATATGTTCAGCTTAAGTTTCAATCCTTAAGCTCAGTCATATGTTCAGTTCATGACATGTATTAGTTAACAAACTCTCAGTAATTGGTTACTATTATACAGCTTAAGTTATAGTTATATCTTAAGCACAGTTATATTATAGCTTATATATATGCATATTGTAAGCTTAATACTTTGGTTCATTATAAAAAGTATTCACTATAAACTATCAAGAGTTTATACTATCACATTAATGGCTTCAGCTTACTTAATGTTATATATACTTTATTATATTCAGTAAATTGTAATAACCCTGATATCGCGAGCTGATAAGTTAACAGCAGGAATTCTTCAGTTCAGTGCCTTTATGAAGTTCCCATAGGGTTATTGCAATCATCTCAGTTCAAATCACTAATTAGTAAAATCCAAAGTATATATAATCCCACCTCCTTATCCGTAGGATTCTACAAAGCAATAAGCATGAGTCAGGATAAGGAAAAATATGAAATTTTTAGAGTAAAATTAATATTTTATACTTATCCTGACTCATGAGGTAAGCCCTCCCATCCTCCCCACATAACACTTTGGATTTCCCTGGAAATTCAGGTGTTGAAGCTCATATGAGGAGAGTGAGGCACATGGGTTCAGGTGGCTACTCGTTCTCGCCAGCTTTGTGGAAGGGAGGTAACTTCGTGGTCAGTACTAATGAGTGATTTTTATTGCAGGGAACTTCAATTGGGAGATACAAGTGTTCCACTAGGTTTCGCCAGAAGAAGAGACAAGCAATAAGCATGAGTCAGGATAAGTATAAAATATTAATTTTACTCTAAAAATTTCATAATTTTTCCTTATCCTGACTCATGCTATTTTGCTTGTCTTCTTCTCCTTGCAAACGTTAGTGGAACACTTGAATCCCCTTTTTGAAGCTCCCTTAAAAAAAGCAGACGTAAAATCACTACTCACCGAGAGTTATGTCCCTTCTCAGTTTTGGCGGGAAACGGCGCCACCCGTCTCCCAGCTCCTCACTCTCTCCTTCTTCGCCCTAGTGGATGGTTGGGAGAGCACCTGGGTCCCCTATACGGCACTATATCCTTTTCTAACTTAGATAATACCCTCTAAATTAGCTGTATAAGGTTTCAGAAAGTATCCTTCTACAATATGCTTTGAAATTTATTATCAAATTTGACTGTTTATTCACGTTTTTACGTGATTGTTCAGTTTGTTTACATTTCATGAAAACCTGTTTTCGTTGCAGGTTTAGGTTCTCTGCTGCAGACCCGCATTTATTGTGCCCAAGTTGCACAACAACATGTACTTCCAGCACTCGCTGTAATATTTGTCAGCATTTATCAGATTTTGATTTTAATAATTATCAATTTTCTCTGCTTAGACATGCTAAGGATAGATCCAGACGGCTGTTGCAAGCCATGGCTAAACCGGCTGAGTCTATAAGGAACCGTTTGTTGTTGTCAGACGAGATGCTTCCTTCCAGTGATCTCCCAAGGGCGTCTTCGGAAGATAGTCATGGGATAGAGACCTCCATTACATTGAGGAAGAGGTCGTCTACTTCAGACAACTCCTCAGCCAATACTAAGAAGAAGAGGCCATCATCATCTCAGAAGAAGCCCTCTGCAGTTAAGCCTTCATCGAAGTCTTCCAGGGGTTCATCACAGAATACGAGGACCTTTTCTACTGAGATCGTCCCGATTGATGAAATAGGCATATACGACGAAACTCCTATCCTCATCTCAGAAGTATTGCCTAAAAAGAAGACGAAAGCCTCAGCTACGGTAACGTCAGCAACCTTATCTATGCAGTCCAAGATACCCTTAACGCAGACATCACGGCCCCATGAGGTACAGTGATCCTTGGACCATATCGCTACCCTCTCAGATGCGTTGTCACTACAACAGTCGTCGCAGATGTTCAACCCCGGGACCTTTATGCAGCAATTCTCCCAACAGATAATGGACCTGATGGAGAAACGGTTCGCGCAGGAAAGGACCTTGCATGATGGACAGCCAGGTGGCTCTCATGCTGACATAGTTGTCAACAACCTGCGCGAAGGACCATTGCTGCATGAAGGACCCCGCACTGGTTGTGCGCCTGCGATGTCTGCTAGAGGACCTAGCATTCGGACCAAGGAAAGACCTGCACTGCACGACTCGAACGAACCTGCACGAAGGAGGAATGAACGTTCACCGGACCTAAATAGATCGTCATCTGAGGATGAGAATTATGAAGGACCTTCACGCAGGGAATCTACAACACAGAGAAGGAAACATACACCTCCGAGAAAGTGCAGAGTGGCGTCTCAAGACTCTGACCCTCATCAGAATCACTCACCTGCGCGCAGGTCTTCGGGAAGGTCGTCTATTCCATGAAGGTCACCACAGAGGACCATATTGCCTTCAGGAAGGCAATCACGGAAACGAAGGCGCACACCTCCAGGCAGGTCTCCATGTAGATCTCCTTATAGAACTTCTCATAGTTCTACATACACATCTCCACGCAGGTCTCATCGCAGATCTCCATGCACGGAGGACACTCACCGACGATATTCAACTGGACATGATACAGAGGACGATGGCGGAATCATATTTTCCGATTCAGAGATCAAGTATTGGATCGCTGGACCTGGACCTGGCTTCACCCTCAAAGGAGGAGAATGAAGCACTCACATTACCTAATGACGGACGATGATGTGGACACCATCACCCTACCTCCAATTGACCCTGTCTCGGACGTACCTGAGGACCTTGATGCAGCCTTCAGGAAGGCAACTAAATTCCAGGCCCCAAGTATTCCGCAGTTCAATGCAAAGAAGTTCTCACTACATCATATGGACCCCTTCATGAAGGCACCAGAGATAGATGAGAACTATAAAATCATCAACAACTCCCGGACCAAATCTTATAAGATTGATGACAAAAAGCTGGCACAGATAGACACTATGACCAGGCGGACCTTCTTCGGACCTACCAGATCGAGGGCAATCAATGAGACGCTCATCTCCAAGTTCAGGAACTCAACTTTGGAGGAGGACCGGATGCTTTATTCTGCCTTACTAACGGAGAAAAAGGACCACCAGTGTATGTCGGAGCATTTGACATCCATATCAGCAGCATTGACGCTTGCCAGAAGACAGGGACTTTTGTCTTCATGCAACTGGAGCGAGCGCTTTACTAAGACTCTCTATAGAGCGCCGTGGTCTACAACATCAATCTTCGCGGGAGAGATTGACAAGGTTGCCAAGGAAGTCAAGAAGGAATCCAGGGAGGTGATGATGATAAAGTCTATTGATACACTAGCCAGTGTCATCAGGCAGACATCCCAACGCTACTCTGGCAAATCTAAATTTGCAGGCATCCAAAGAGCAAGAGAAAAGAAATATGGGACCTCCAGAGGAGGAAAGGACTCTTTTTGTCGCTCATCCGGGACCTATAGAGGATGATCCGGACGAGGCAGGGCACCCAGAGGTGCCAGAGGCTCTAGACGATGAAGGACTGGTTCGGAACGACTGGAGTCTTCCACCCCCAGCCGTTCCTGTACAACCTTCCGAAGTGGGTGGACGTCTACAACGCTACTTGGAGAATTGGGGAATTCTTCAGGACCAATTTGTATCCGACATCCTGCGCGCAGGATATCAAATACAACTACAAGCAGCCACTCTATTGACAAACAGACCTCAGGGCTTCAAGATCGCGGCCCATCGGATAGAGTGGCTGCGCGAAGCTGTCACATCTCTACTAGAGAAGGACGCTATAGAAGTGATAGATCAGGACCAGATCTCACCAGGGTTCTACTCCCCAGAAAAACTCCAAAGAAAAGTTCCGACTTATATACAACATGAGGAAATTCAACAGAGATTATCTACGCAGACCGGCAAAATTCAGGATGATTCATCTGCCTCAACTACTACATCTCGTTCGTCCGTCGGACCATCTTGCCAGCATAGTTCTACAGGACGCATACCTGCACATCACTATAAATCCGGAATCAAGGAAGTACCTAAGATTCCTCCTAGACGGACGACACTACCAATGGAAAGTCCTTCCATTTGGAATATCATCGGCCCCCTGGTTGTTTACACGAGTGACAAAGCCCATCATCACATATCTACATCATCGAGGTCTACGCAGTGCGTTCTACCTGGACGATGGGATTCAAGCTCATCAAGATCCCAGTCATCTCAGACTGCAACTAGACTGCACCATCAGGCTTCTCACTCAACTAGGATGGCTAGTGAATCTCCTCAAGTCGGAACTAGAGCCTACACAGGACCTACAGTTCCTAGGAATTCGGCTCATCACAACAGAAAACCGCATAGCAGTTCCAGAGGACCGTTGGCTGAAGATACTACACATGGTATCTCAAGCTCTACTCTCTCCGTGGCCACTACGAGATTGGCAAAGCCTTTTGGGTCTCCTCACGTCAGCGCAGGACATGACCCGCAGAGGGAGACTACACCTACACCCACTCCAGGTCTTCGTGAATGGCCATCTGGACGATCCGGACCCCTTCGGACTTCCGGACAGACTAAAACCATATCTACTATGGTGGACTCTGAGATCGAATGTTTGCGGAGGGACCTACTTAGCAGAGCTAGAGTGCAATACTCATCTCTACGTGGATGCATCTCTTCAGGGATGGGGAGCGCACCTCGACAACGAAGTGTCAGCTGGGAAATGGACGTTACAGTAGAAAAGTCTGCATATCAACATGCTAGAGATGAAAGCAGTCATAAACACCAGCATTCTAAAAATGCTCATCTAATGATACATACGGACAACTCCACAGTGGCGTTCTACATAAACAAACAAGGATCGACAAGGTCGGCGAACCTTCTGGACCTTTGCTTTCATCTGTTCAGCATAACGGACGATCTGAACATCCACATAAAAGCATGCCACATTCCAGGTGCCAAGAATGTGATAGCAGATGCACTATCTCGTCCAACACAACCATCCCCAACAGAATGGATGCTACATCCAGAGATCTTCAAACAGATCATACAAGAGATAGGAGCTCCGCTCATAGACTTGTTCGCCACAAGATTCAACAATCAACTGGCAACATTAGTCTCTCCAATACCAGATCTACGAGCATGGGCAACAGATGCTCTAAGCATCTCTTGGGAAGGACTAAACGCTTACGCGTTCCCGCCTCCAGCTCTAATACCACAAGTGTTGCAGAAAATCAAGTAGACGAGGAACCTGCAACTGATTTTGGTCGCGCATATTGGCCAGCGAGAATGTGGTTTCCCATTCTCATACAAGAACTAGGACCTCCTCAGTTGCAACTACCAGAGTGGACGAACTTGCTAGTACATCCGCCCAAACGGGAACCCCACAGTGTTCGACCTACACGCATGGACCATATCAAGGCTTTCTTGAAAAAGAGAGGATACTCCTCCAGGGCAGCGAAAGCGGTCACGCTAGCTCTACGCAAATCAACCTGCAACTTGTATGACGACAAGTGGCAAAGCTTTGAGACCTGTGCCTTGAGGAAAGGCTTCACAGCCATGAAAGCGACACACCCTCAAGCGGCGGACTACCTTTGTCATCTAAGACAAACAAAGCGGTTAAAAGGTTCAACACTCTCAACATACCTAGCGGCAGTGAGCTCAGTTATCACCATGAGGACGAGTGTAAAACTGACTAAGGTACCAGAGATACTGGCCTTACTACGGTCCTTCAAGTTGGAAGACCAACAACAGAGATTTAAAGCTCCGGCTTAGGACCTCAATATAGTTCTACAGCATCTTATGAGTTCTTAACACAGAAAACTCTATTTCTGATTGCCTTGGCAACAGCAGCACGGATGTCGGAAATACATGCTCTGGACTTTGAACGGACACGATTTGATGCGCACCGCAACATTGTACATCTGGGACTAAGATGGGACTTTATAGCAAAGAATCAACTGCCAGGTCAACCCGACAGACAGTTCCACATCCCAGCATTATCATCAGTCCTTGGGCCTCAGGATACACAGGACCTATCCTTGTGCCCAGTAAGAGCATTAAAAGTCTACCTACAAAGGTCTAGGACCAGGAGACGAAAATTCAAGCGCCTTTTCATACCTATATTAGCAGAGTCACCTAGAGAGATCTCTCGCTACAACGATATCAATATGGATGGGAGCTGTCATCCTAAGGGCCTATAAAGTAGCAGGACTTGATCCTCCACGAGCCTCCAATCCACATGAAGTTAGAGCTCTGGCATCAACACTCGCTCTACATGGAAACTGCTCCATCACCACGATAATGGAGGGCAGCTTCTGGAAATCAGACATGGTGTTTGCCAACCACTACCTGTTACACATCGCCACCGAGGACGTCTCCGGCATTCACCAGTTTGGGCCTCTTGTAGCACAACAACTGACGGTTCCACAAAGGCGCTGAGACAGAGTCATGCCCTTTTATCACGTGACTTGCAAATGCCAACACTCTGGGGAGTTAGAGCTTTAGAGTCCATGTGCACGTCTAAGACAGACCAGCATGAGTGATAGACCCTGTACTTGTAAGGACGTACTCGAACATAAGAAGGGTCGCTTCTCCACTTGATGGAGTTGCACAAATCCACACATAATGTTAGCAGAAGAAAGGACCAAAAGCTGACAAGTTGTGGTCCCCCCATCAGAGAAAGTTGGAAGATAAGGTCAGCAGCAGAAGAACCTAGCAGTAAATTAACAGTGCTACCATGAAGTTCCCATAGGGGGGTATGCAGGACGTAAATCACCAGAAGTGGCCTGACCCACCACCAAATCCGTCGGATTCTACAAGCAAAATAGCATGAGTCAGGATAAGCAAAAATATGTAATTTTCTGAGTAACATTGATATTTTATACTTATCCTGACTCTTGAGGTCAGCCCTCCCCTCAAGGCACTTTTGGATTTCCCAGCATATCTAAGTGTCGGGCTTGATATACGGAGAGAGTAAGTTAAGCCAAAACTGAGAAGGGACATAACTCTTGGTGAGTAGTGATTTTACGTCTGCTTTTTTGAAGGGAGCTTCAAAAAGTGGATTCACGTGTTCCCCAAACGTTCGCAAGGAGAAGAAGACAAGCCAAATAGCATGAGTCAGGATAAGTATAAAATATCAATTTTACTCAGAAAATTACATTTTTTACCAGTTTGCCAGATTTAATGGGTTCAGGAACAAAGGCTACTCATCTGGGAATATATGATCTTAGAAGTACAAGACACATTGGTTCTACTTTAGCCAATTATTTAGTGGCTATCAGTTAAGCCTGACCATGGATAGGGGATATTAACTCATCAAGGTTTCAGAACTCATAGCTTTTCTAAGGTTTCAGAACTCATCGCTTTTCTAAGGTCTTATAGAATATAAATTGCAAATAACAAAACTGGAGAGAGTGCGAAACACCGGCTGATCAAGTGATGGGAATGCATGGTAGAGGGTGCATTCGGGTGAGGTGTTTCTACTGTTTGAGAATTTCAGCATTTTCAGCATTGCAACATGTCATGTTCTTGTGATATATACTCATGATATAGCTTGTAGAACATAATGTTTTCTGATTTCAGTCAAGAAAGTGTCAAAAAGTCATGATGAGAAGAAGTTTTGTCAGCGGACCATCAATCAGCTGAGGTCACACAAGACAGGTGGGTAACCTTGATCTCGGCAATGTTAGAGGTCACGCAAGACAGGTGGGTAACCTTGATCTCATTAATGTTAGAGGTCATACAAGACGGAAGGTAACCTTGATCTCAGCAATGTTAGAGGTCATACAAGACAGGTGGGTAACCTTGATCTCATTAATGTTAGAGGTCATACAAGACGGAAGGTAAGCTTGATCTCGTTAATGTTAGAGGTCATACAAGACAGGTGGGTAACCTTGATCTCGTTAATGTTAGAGGTCACACAAGACAGGTGGGTAACCTTGATCTCGTCAATGTTAGAGGTCACACAAGACAGGTGGGTAACCTTGATCTCGTTAATGTTAGAGGTCATACAAGACGGAAGGGTAACCTTGATCTCGTCAATGTTGGAGGTCACACAAGACAGGTGGGCAACCTTGATCTCGGAAATGTTAGAGCCACACAAGATGGATGGGTAACCTTGATCTCGGCAATGTTAGAGGCTTCACAAGATAACTTTGCAACTGAGTGGAATGGCATCCCCAGTCAGTCGATGCAGACTCTTAATGATTCCATGGGGTAGTCATGTCAGGCTCTCATTGATTCCTATGATGGACACAAAGAAGGGTTGTTTGCTTGACATTTGTGATTCTGTAGAATTGCTCATTTTCTTCACATGAGTTGTTACCCGTGAAGATCCAGGTCAGAATTGGTCTTCAGCTTGTCGTAAGAGGTGACTAACAGGATCGGGTTGTCACGCTTGCTGACTTGGTTGACACATGTCATCGTATGCCAATTGCTTATATATACTCCCTCACAAAAAGTTAAGCAACACAAATTTGTATAGCATTGCATTTTCATTTATTGAAATTTCAAATCATGGAATGATGCAATAGAAAGGTTAAATATGTATACACACGATTAACAAAATGAAATGAAATGGTATTGAGCAATAATAGACTTACAAATCATCAAAAGCATGTACCCTTGAAAACAGTTAAATTGCAAAATGTGCTGCATTGATGGAGCAAAATGTTAACATTAAGGTTCAAGTCAGTTTTGGACAGTGAAGCAGTGTTCAGTAGCTGGCGTATGACCACCATGAGCACAAATGCAAGCTTCTACACGTCTTTGCATTGACCAAATGAGCCTTTAAAGTTGCTGTTGTGGAATGTTCTGCCATTCTCTGTAGCGCCTGCTCAAGGTCATCCAGAGTCTGGGGTGCACATGGAGACCGTGAACACGACTTCCAATAATGTCCCAAGCATGTTCAATGGGATTAAGATCAAGTGACCTTGCAGGCCAGTCCATATGTGTGATGTTGTTGATCTAAACAACATCGTTAATAACTCATTCTTGGCCATTATCATCCATGGGATCGGGCATTATCACCCATTAAAATGAAGTCAGGACCCGCTTGTTGTGCCAGAGGAATGATTACAGGTAGGTTTACAATGATCAGGGTGCACGTGTGAAGAGTGGTGCACACATTCATCCCACACATTTTGCATGTTGTTTCTGAGGGTGGTTGTGTTTGGGTTATGTTGTCAATGTTATCAGATAAATTAATTTGACAGTCACTAAAGGTTATGTATTCTTTGAATATTTACCTTTCAGTAACATGTCGGCAAAAATTGCTATCAGAAATTGATAAAGATATTACACTGAAAATACTTGTTGCTTATTTTTTTTGTAGAGAGTATAGATCAGTGCTCATCCTGCTGATCACTGGATTGTCTGGTTCAGACTCGAGTGCAGTGTAAAACTAAACTCACTCACTCAAATGAGTTGTAACAACAGTGACCATCTACACTTTGCAACCAAATGAGCAGCTCTTTGTGTTCAACTGTAATTTAATTAAGTTATGTGTTCCATATTTTTGGAGTTGTGTATTAAAAGTTCATCCTCTTCATGTGATTTTGAGAGGACATGTTTCCTCAAGGCAGAACTAAAGCTGTTGTCACATGCTGATTATTGTGTTATAAGTACTCGTTGAGTGAATCATGTCAGTGTTGCTTGTAAAATTTAGGTTATCAGTAGTTTCCCTAAAAAGTGGTCTTCTATAAGTGAATGAGGATTCATGAAACAGACACGGAAGATCCATGAGACAGATATGAATGATCCATGACACAAGACATGAATGATCCATGAGACAGACATGGAAGATCCATGAGACAGACATGGAAGATCCATGAGACAGACATGGAAGATCCATGAGAGAGACATGGAAAATCCATGAGACAGACATGGAAGATCCATAAGACAGACATTGAAGATCCATAAGACAGACATTGAAGATCCATGAGACAGACATGGAAGGTCAACGAGACACACATTGAAGATCCATAAGACAGACATTGAAGATCCATGAGACAGACATTGAAGATCCATAAGACAGACATTGAAGATCCATGAGACAGACAATGAAGATCCATAAGACAGACATTGAAGATCCATAAGAAAGACATTGAAGATCCATAAGACAGACATTGAAGATCCATGAGACAGACTTTGAAAATCCATAAGACAGACATGAAAGGTCCATGAGACAGACATGGAAGATCCATAAGACAGACATGGAAGATCCATAAGACAGACATTGAAGATCCATGAGACAGACATGGAAGATCCATGAGACAGACATTGAAGATCCATGAGACAGACATGGAAGATCAATGAGACAGACATTGAAGATCCATAAGACAGACATTGAAGATCCATAAGACAGACATTGAAGATCCATAAGACAGACATGGAAGATCCATAAGACAGACATGGAAGGTCCATGAGACAGACATGGAAGATCCATAAGACAGACATGGAAGATCCATAAGACAGACATTGAAGATCCATGAGACAGACATGGAAGATCCATGAGACAGACATTGAAGATCCATGAGACAGACATGGAAGATCAATGAGACAGACATTGAAGATCCATAAGACAGACATTGAAGATCCATAAGACAGACATTGAAGATCCATAAGACAGACATGGAAGATCCATGAGACAGACATTGAAGATCCATGAGACAGACATGGAAGATCCATGAGACAGACATGGAAGATCCATGAGACAGACATGGAAGGTCCATGAGACAGACATGGAAGATCCATAAGACAGACATTGAAGATCCATAAGACAGACATTGAAGATCCATGAGACAGACATTGAAGATCCATGAGACAGACATGGAAGGTCAACGAGACACACATTGAAGATCCATAAGACAGACATTGAAGATCCATGAGACAGACATGGAAGGTCCACGAGACAGACATGGAAGATCCATAAGACAGACATTGAAGGTCCACAAGACAGACATGGAAGATCCATAAGACACACATTGAAGATCCATAAGACAGACATGGAAGGTCCATGATGCAGACATGGAAGATCCATAAGACAGACATGGAAGGTCCATGATGCAGACATGGAAGATCCATAAGACAGACATGGAAGGTCCATGAGACAGACATGGAAGATCCATAAGACAGACATGGAAGGTCCATGAGACAGACATTGAAGATCCATAAGACAGACATGGAAGATCCATAAGACAGACATGGAAGATCCATAAGACAGACATGGAAGATCCATAAGACAGACATTGAAGATCCATAAGACAGACATGGAAGATCCATAAGACAGACATTGAAGATCCATAAGACAGACATGGAAGATCCATGAGACAGACATGGAAGATCCATAAGACAGACATGGAAGGTCCATAAGACAGACATTGAAGATCCATGAGACAGACATTGAAGATCCATAAGACAGACATTGAAGATCCATAAGACAGACATGGAAGATCCATAAGACAGACATTGAAGATCCATAAGACAGACATGGAAGGTCCATGATGCAGACATTGAAGATCCATAAGACAGACATGGAAGGTCCATAAGACAGACATGGAAGATCCATAAGACAGACATGGAAGGTCCATGAGACAGACATGGAAGATCCATAAGACAGACATTGAAGATCCATAAGACAGACATTGAAGGTCCACGAGACAGACATGGAAGATCCATAAGACAGACATGGAGTTATCTGTGGTGTCCTGGTACACTGGGTGACATCTGCTTCCATGGCAACTAAATTTGCTGTGTTAGCGCAATTCTGAGAAGAAGGTTTACTAATAGAAATGTTAACCAGCTGTAATAATGGCTAGAATATTGCGTGAACCAGACACAGTCACTTGAGCTCTTTCACCACTGAGTCGGATTTCACCCAATTTGTATGTGAGTTCTCTGTGTTTGCCAGGTGAGACTGGCATACTGGCGTCTGGAGCAGACAGGTCCAAGACGAGCTGCAGTCAGCCGGTGGAATCATATGGACTGGCTTCTGCTGTGGTGGACAGGCTGAAACTTGAACACCTCATGCACAAGATGAAGAAGGTGAGAAACCAAGTCATGTTACACTCATCATGTATTTTCCATATTAGTATAACCTACAGCATCTTGTACCCTTCATTGATGGTGGCTTATTATTTTATATGTTGTCTACACCCTCTGATTTTCATGCTGTACATTTTGTGGTAATATCATAGATGCGCTTACTAATTTATGCACAGATAACAGAATATAGACATATTAAATACGGTGACCCGCCCCTAAAGTACAAAGGTGTGTAAAACAGCCTGGTGTTTTGAAGATAACACACATTATCCTGGTGTTGTACAGTGAGGGGTGGAGCAGCTTGATGTTAGGAAGATAACACACATTATCCTGGTGTTGTACAGTGGGCGGTGGAGCAGCTTGATGTTAGGAAGATAACACACATTATCCTGGTGTTGTACTGTGGGCGGTGGAGCAGCTTGATGTTAGGAAGTATTACACATTTTCCTGGTGTTGTACTGTGGGCGGTGGAGCAGCTTGATGTTAGGAAGATAACACACATTATCCTGGTGTTGTACTGGGCGGTGGAGCAGCTTGATGTTAGGAAGTATTACACATTATCCTGGTGTTGTACTGTGGGAGGTGGAGCAGCTTGATGTTAGGAAGATATTACACATTATCCTGGTGTTGTACTGTGGGCGGTGGAGCAGCTTGATGTTAGGAAGTATTACACATTATCCTGGTGTTGTACTGTGGGAGGTGGAGCAGCTTGATGTTAGGAAGTATTACACATTATCCTGGTGTTGTACTGTGGGAGGTGGAGCAGCTTGATGTTAGGAAGATGACACACATTATCCTGGTGTTGTACTGTGGGAGGTGGAGCAGCTTGATGTTAGGAAGTTAGGAAGTACACATTATCCTGGTGTTGTACTGTGGGCGGTGGAGCAGCTTGATGTTAGGAAGTATTACACATTATCCTGGTGTTGTACTGTGGGAGGTGGAGCAGCTTGATGTTAGGAAGATGATACACATTATCCTGGTGTTGTACTGTACTGTGGGCAGCTTGATGTTGGAGCATTAGCTTGATGTTATGGAGCAGCTTGATGACACATTATCCTGGTGTTGTACTGTGGGAGGTGGAGCAGCTTGGTGGAGCAGCTTGATGTTATCCTGGTGTTGTAGAGCAGCTTGATGTTAGGAAGTATGACACATTATCCTGGTGTTGTACTGTGGGCAGGTGGAGCAGCTTGATGTTAGGAAGATGACAGGTGTTGTACTGTGGGAGGTGGAGCACACATTATCCTGGTGTTGTACTGTGGAGGCTTGGTGGAGCAGCTTGATGTTGGAGGAAGGATTACACATTATCCTGGTGTTGTACTGTGGTGTTGTACTGTGGGTGGAGCAAGCTTGATGTTAGGAAGAAGTATTACACATTATCCTGGTGTTGTACTGTGGGAGGTGGAGCAGCTTGATGTTATGATACACATTATCCTGGAAGTATTGGAGCACATTATCCTGGTGTTGTACTGTGTGGGCAGCTTGATGTGGAAGCAGGTGTTGATGTTAGGAAGATGATATTACACATTATCCTGGTGTTGTACTGTGGGAGGTGGAGCAGCTTGATGTTAGGAAGTATTACACATTATCCTGGTGTTGTACTGTGGGAGGTGGAGCAGCTTGATGTTAGGAAGTATTACACATTATCCTGGTGTTGTACTGTGGGAGGTGGAGCAGCTTGATGTTAGGAAGATGACACATTATCCTGGTGTTGTACTGTGGGAGGTGGAGCAGCTTGATGTTAGGAAGTATTACACATTATCCTGGTGTTGTACTGTGGGAGGTGGAGCAGCTTGATGTTAGGAAGATGTACTGTGTGGAGCAGCTTGATGATACACATTATCCTGGTGTTGTACTGTGGGAGGTGGAGCAGCTTGATGTTAGGAAGATGACACACATTATCCTGGTGTTGTACTGTGTGCGGTGGAGCAGCTTGATGTTAGGAAGTATTACACATTATCCTGGTGTTGTACTGTGGGCGGTGGAGCAGCTTGATGTTAGGAAGATGACACATTATCCTGGTGTTGTACTGTGGGCGGTGGAGCAGCTTGATGTTAGGAAGTATTACACATTATCCTGGTGTTGTACTGTGGGAGGTGGAGCAGCCTGATGTTAGGAAGATGACACACATTATCCTGATGTTGATGACACATTATCCTGTACTGTGTGCGGTGGAGCAGCTTGATGTTAGGAAGTATTACACATTATCCTGGTGTTGTACTGTGGACGGTGGAGCAGCTTGATGTTAGGAAGATGACACATTATCCTGGTGTTGTACTGTGGGCGGTGGAACAGCTTGATGTTAGGAAGTATTATACATTATCCTGGTGTTGTACTGTGGGCGGTGGAGCAGCCTGGTGGTAAATCATTCACTCTTCATTTTGCTGAAGTAATGTGGAATGTAAGGTTCACTGACTCAGAGAATGTTTATTTTGCAGCTGTCCACACAGGAGATTCATGACATACACAAGTGCAGACCGTGCAGGTAACACAGCTCACCCCACTTCCTTCCATCTCATTACTCTTTCTTCAAAGTGGATCCTTCATGAGAAACAGTTTCCTCACATGTGTAATGAATATACATTCTGACAACTTTATGAATACTATTGGGATAACTGTGAGTGTATTCTAACTCTTACATTGATTAATTGTGTCACATGATGGTGGTATATAGTGATGTTTTATAAAGTGGTGGTGGTGTATAGAGATGGTGGTATATAGTGATGCTGGTATATAGTGTTGGTGGTATATAGTGTTGGTGGTATATAGTGATGCTGGTATATAGTGGTGGTGGTATATAGTGTTGGTGGTATATAGTGACAGAGGTATATAGTGGTGGTATATGGTGGTGGTGGTATATGGTGGTGGTGGTATATAGTGGTGGTGGTATATAGTGGTGGTGGTATATAGTGGTGGTGGTATATAGTGGTGGTGGTATATAGTGATGGTGGTATATAGTGGTGGTGGTATATAGTGGCGGAGGTATATAGTGGTGGTATATAGTGGTGGTGGTATAAAGTGGCGGTGGTATATAGTGGTGGTGGTATATAGGGCAGGTGATATATAGTGGCGGTGATATATAGGGGTGGTGGTGGTATAAAGTGGTGGTGGTATATAGTGGTGGTGGTATATAGTGATGGTGATATATAGTGATGGTGGTATATAGTGGTGGTGGTATATAGTGGTGGTGGTATACAGTGGTGGTGGTATATAGGGCAGGTGATATATAGTGGCGGTGATATATAGGGGTGGTGGTGGTATAAAGTGGTGGTGGTATATAGTGGTGATGATATATAGTGATGATGGTATATAGTGATGGTGGTATATAGTGATGGTGATATATAGTGGCGGTGGTATATTGTGGTGGTGGTATATAGTGGCGGAGGTGTATAGTGTTGGTGGTATATAGTGGTGGTATATAGTGGCGGAGGTGTATAGTTGGCGGTGGTATATAGTGGTGGCGTGGTATATAGTGGTGAGTATATAGTGGTATATAGTGGCGGTGGTATATAGTGGTGGTGGTATATAGTGGTGGTGGTATATAGTGGTGGTGGTATATTGTGGTGGTGGTATATAGTGGGTGGTATATAGTGGTGGTGGTATATAGTGGTGGTGGTATATAGTGGTGGTGGTATATAGTGGTGGTGGTATATAGTGGTGGTGGTATATAGTGGTGGTGGTATATTGTGGTGGTGGTATATAGTGGCAGTGGTATATAGTGGTGGTGGTGGTGGTGGTATATAGTGGTGGTGGTATAAAAGTGATGGTGGTATATAGTGGTGGTGGTATATATATAGTGGTGGTGGTATATAGTGGTGGTGGTATATTGTGGTGGTGGTATATAGTGGTGGTGGTATATAGTGGTGGTGGTATATAGTGGTGGTGATATATAGTGGTGGTGGTATATAGTGGTGGTGGTATATAGTGGGTGGTATATAGTGGTGGTGGTATATAGTGGTGGTGGTATATAGTGGTGGTGGTATATAGTGGTGGTGGTATATAGTGATGGTGGTATATAGTGGTGGTGGTATATAGTGGTGGTGGTATATAGTGCAGGTGATATATAGTGGCGGTGATATATAGGGGTGGTGGTGGTATAAAGTGGTGGTGGTATATAGTGGTGGTGGTATATAGTGATGGTGATATATAGTGATGGTGGTATATAGTGGTGGTGGTATATAGTGGTGGTGGTATATAGTTGTGGTGGTATACAGTGGTGGTGGTATATAGGGCAGGTGATATATATAGTGGCGGTGATATATAGGGATGGTGGTGGTATAAAGTGGTGGTGGTATATAGTGGTGATGGTATATAGTGATGGTGATATATAGTGATGATGGTATATAGTGATGGTGGTATATAGTGGCGGTGGTATATTGTGGTGGTAGTATATAGTGGCGGAGGTGTATAGTGTTGGTGGTATATAGTGGTGGTATATAGTTGAGGAGGTGTATAGTGGTGGTGGTATATAGTGATGGTGATATATAGTGGCGGAGGTGTATAGTGGTGGTGGTATATAGTGGTGAGTGGTATATAGTGGTGGTGGTATATAGTGGTGGTGGTATATAGTGGTGGTGGTATATAGTGATGGTGGTATATAGTGGTGGTGGTATATAGTGGTGGTGGTATATTGTGGTAGTGGTATATAGTGATGGTGATATATAGTGATGATGGTATATAGTGATGGTGGTATATAGTGATGGTGATATATAGTGGCGGTGGTATATTGTGGTGGTGGTATATAGTGGCGGAGGTGTATAGTGTTGGTGGTATATAGTGGCGGAGGTGTATAGTGGTGGTGGTATATAGTGATGGTGATATATAGTGGTGGAGGTGTATAGTGGTGGTGGTATATAGTGGCGGAGGTGTATAGTGTTGGTGGTATATAGTGGTGGTAATATATAGTGGTGGCGGAGGTATATAGTGGTGGTGGTATATAGTGGCGGAGGTGTATAGTGGTGGTGGTATATAGTGATGGTGATATATAGTGGTGGAGGTGTATAGTGGTGGTGGTATATAGTGATGGTGGTATATAGTGGTGGAGGTATATAGTGGTGGTGGTATATAGTGGTGGAGGTGGTATATAGTGTTGGTGGTATATAGTGGTGGTATATAGTGGAGGAGGTGTATAGTGTTGGTGGTATATAGTGATGGTAATATATAGTGGCGGATGTGTATAGTGGTGGTGGTATATAGTGGCGGAGGTGTATAGTGGTGGTGGTATATAGTGGCGGAGGTGTATAGTGGTGGTGGTATATAGTGGCGGAGGTGTATAGTGGTGGTGGTATATAGTGGCGGAGGTGTATAGTGGTGGTGGTATATAGTGGTGGTATATAGTGGTGGTGGTATATAGTGATGGTAATATATAGTGGCGGAGTGGTATATTGTGGTGGTGGTATATAGTGGCGGAGGTGTATAGTGTTGGTGGTATATAGTGGTGGTATATAGTGGCTGTGGTATATAGTGGTGGTGGTATATAGTGGTGGTGGTATATAGTGGTGGTGGTATATAGTGGTGGTGGTATATAGTGGTGGTGGTATATAGTGGTGGTGGTATATAGTGGTGGTGGTATATAGTGGTGGTGGTATATAGTGGTGGTGGTATATAGTGATGGTGGTATATAGTGGTGGTGGTATATAGTGGTGGTGGTATATTGTGGTGGTGGTATATAGTGGCAGTGGTATATAGTGGTGGTGGTGGTATATAGTGGTGGTGGTATAAAGTGATGGTGGTATATAGTGGTGGTGGTATATAGTGGTGGTGGTATATAGTGGTGGTGGTATATAGTGATGGTGGTATATAGTGGTGGTGGTATATAGTGGTGGTGGTATATAGTGGCAGTGGTATATAGTAGTGGTGGTGGTGGTATATAGTGGTGGTGGTATATAAAGTGATGGTGGTATATAGTGGTGGTGGTATATAGTGGTGGTGGTATATAGTGGTGGTGGTATATAGTGGTGGTGGTATATTGTGGTGGTGGTATATAGTGGTGGTGGTATATAGTGGTGGTGGTATATAGTGGTGGTGGTATAAAGTGGTGGTGGTATATTGTGGTAGTGGTATATAGTGGTGGTGGTATATAGTGGTGGTGGTATATAGTGATGGTGGTATATAGTGGTGGAGGTGTATAGTGGTGGTGGTATATAGTGGTGGTGGTATATAGTGGTGGTATATAGTGGTGGTGGTATATAGTGGTATATAGTGGTGGTGGTATATAGTGGCGGTGGTAGATAGTGCCGGTGGTATATTGTGGTGGTGGTATATAGTGGCAGTGGTATATAGTGGTGGTGGTGGTGGTGGTATATAGTGATGGTGGTATAAAGTGATGGTGGTATATAGTGATGGTGGTATATAGTGATGGTGGTATATAGTGGTGGTGGTACATAGTGGCTGTGGTATATAGTGGGGGTGGTATATAGTGGTGGTGGTATATTGTGGTGGTGGTATATTGTGGTGGTGGTATATGGCGGTGGTATATAGTGGCGGTGGTATATAGTGGCGGTGGTATATAGTGGTGGTGGTATATAGTGGTGGTGGTATATTGTGGTGGTGGTATAATGTGGTGGTGGTATAATGTGGTGGTATACCCTAACTGTTCATATACTCTAAAATATGGTTGGACCAGGATTTCGTTCTGTAGCTTTTGCTTATATTGATAGGAACCAACAAAAGAGGCTTCAAGAAGCAGAATCCAGACAAGATTTCCTCAACTATCACCACCATCGACTTCAGGCAAGAAACATGGATGCCAGGGTAGACTCTCATCTCACAAGGATGGTAAGTTAAATGACAGTCAGACCAGACTCTCATCTCACAAGGATGGTAAGTTAAATGACAGTCAGACCAGACTCTCATCTCACAAGGATGGTACGTTAACTGACAGTCAGACCAGACTCTCATCTCACAAGGATGGTACGTTAACTGACAGTCAGACCAGACTCTCATCTCACAAGGATGGTACGTTAACTGACAGTCAGACCAGATTCTCATCTCACAAGTATGGTACATTACCTGACAGTCAGACCAGATTCTCATCTCACAGGGATGGTACGTTAACTGACAGACAGACCAGACTCTCATCTCAATGGGATAGTACGTTACCTGACAGTCAGACGAGACTCTCATCTGACAGGGATGGTACGTTAACTGACAGACAGACCAGACTCTCATTTCACAAGGATCGTACGTTACCTGACAGTCAAACCAGACTCTCATCTCACAGGGATGGTATATTAACTGACAGTCAAACGAGACTCTCGTCTCACAGGGATGGTATGTTAACTGACAGACAGACCTGACTCTCATCTCACAGGGATGGTATATTAACTGACAGTCAGACGAAACTCTCGTCTCACAGGGATGGTACGTTAACTGACAGTCAGACCAGACTCATCTGACAGGGATGGTACGTTAACTGACAGTCAGACGAGACTTTCATCTCACAGGGATGGTACGTTAACTGACAGTCAGACCAGACTCTCGTCTCACAGGGATGGTACTTTATCTGACAGTCAGACCAGACTCTCATCTCACAGGGATGGTTCGTTAACTGACAGTCAGACCAGATTCTCATATCACAGGGATGGTATATTAACTGACAGTCAGACCACATTCTCATATCACAGGGATGGTATATTAACTGACAGTCGGACCATATTCTCATCTCACAGGGATGGTACGTTAACTGACAGTCAGACCGGACTCTCATCTCACAGGGATGGTGCGTTAACTGACAGTCAGACCAGATTCTCATCTCACAGGGATGGTATATTAACTGACCGTCAGACCAGACTCTCATCTCACAAGGATGGTACGTTAACTGACAGTCAGACCAGACTCTCATCTCACAAGTATGGTACGGTACCTGACAGACAGACCAGACTCTCATCTCACAAGGATGGTACGTTAACTGACAGTCAGACCAGATTCTCATCTCACAAGGATGGTATATTAACTGACAGTCAGACGAAACTCTCATCTCACAGGGATGGTACGTTAACTGACAGTCAGACCAGACTCATCTGACAGGGATGGTACGTTAACTGACAGTCAGACGAGACTTTCATCTCACAGGGATGGTACGTTAACTGACAGTCAGACCAGACGTTAACTGACTCGTCTCACAGGGATGGTACTTTATCTGACAGTCAGACCAGACTCTCATCTCACAGGGATGGTTCGTTAACTGACAGTCAGACCAGATTCTCATATCACAGGGATGGTATATTAACTGACAGTCAGACCACATTCTCATATCACAGGGATGGTATATTAACTGACAGTCGGACCATATTCTCATCTCACAGGGATGGTACGTTAACTGACAGTCAGACCGGACTCTCATCTCACAGGGATGGTGCGTTAACTGACAGTCAGACCAGATTCTCATCTCACAGGGATGGTATATTAACTGACCGTCAGACCAGACTCTCATCTCACAAGGATGGTACGTTAACTGACAGTCAGACCAGACTCTCATCTCACAAGTATGGTACGTTACCTGACAGACAGACCAGACTCTCATCTCACAAGGATGGTACGTTAACTGACAGTCAGACCAGATTCTCATCTCACAAGGATGGTACGTTACCTGATAGACAGACAGATTCTCATCTCACAGGGATGGTACGTTAACTGACAGTCAGACCAGACTCTCATCTCACAGGGATGGTACGTTAACTGACAGTCAGACCAGATTGTCATCTCATAGGGATGGTATATTAACTGACAGTCAGACCAGACTCTCGTCTCACTGGGATGGTATATTAACTGACAGTCAGACCGGACTCTCATCTCACAGGGATGGTGCGTTAACTGACAGTCAGGCCAGACTCTCATCTCACAGGGATGGTATATTAACTGACAGTCAGACCAGACTCTTATCTCACAGGGATTAACTGACAGTCACACCAGCTTACCTGTAAACTGTAAACACAAGAATGGATTGTTTACTGAGAGTGAAACCTCTTCTGTTGGCAGAGATTAAGATTATCTTGTGTATTGTCTCATAAACAAGGCTGGAAATAACAATTCTCCCCATCTACCAGTGATTCAGTTAAAATAACCTCATAAAATAATTGCAAGCAAATTTGATGCAATGATAAATGTCATTTGTGATACATGTTGATGGACTATTTTGTGTGAATTAAACATATACCTAATAAGTGCCCTCCATTTTTTGGGACATTTGAATACAGTATAAACAATATATCATTAGAATGAAATGTTTACTGCCAGTCTGATCGTAGTACTCAGTGTATCTTACCTGGATGTTGTGTTGCAGACTTCCATCAACCTGATTGGAGAACTGGTCCAGACACTCCCCCATCCTGGTACATCTTCTGGGGACCTACTGTATCTCTACAAACAACAGCTTCACAGGAGGATGGATGCCTAGGGCAACAGGGTGTCTCACTTACATCAAAGACTTGTCTGTAGACAAGGAGTAAACCATCTGAGACACACAGGATGACAGGATGATGATGACAGCACCTATACCTCAACAACGATTGCCCATCTGCATGGAACTTATGTGTGGTCCAGGCACACTTGGCCTCAGCGGACTACAAACCACTTGAGTGCATTAACCTTAAGACAGTCTTTTTGTACTGTTAACACTCTTGTATTTCGGAGAAATTTACATCTTAGATGTCAGCCAAGTTTGCTTAGAAGGCAAAAAACATGGCAAGGTGTTCCCGCGTCCCACATAATGAAGAAGCAGTTGCCTGGACAGCTGGATAGATTGTTCACTACATGTATTTCGCTGCCTTATTCGGGCTTGCTGTGGATCTTTTGCTGTGTCCTTTAAGAGCATTGAAGATCTTTATTGCTGCCTCGCAAGACTGTCGCTGACAATGCAAGCAACTTTTTATCCCGGTCACTACAGCCTCCAGAGTGGTACTAACTTGCACGACCATTGCCTTCTAGATGAGTTCAGGGATCTTAAGGCTACACATTTGCTGGCCTGTCTCTTCCGGTTGCTTGCAGTATTCTCAAGACTAGGACAATTGCCTCCACCATGGCGCTCAATAGTAACTGCTCCTTAAGATCCTTCATTAATGGGTGTTTTTCGGAAATATGAGACTGTCTTTGCATCCCATTGTCACAGAGAAATATCAGTTTCCGTTGTCCAGGGAATTCATCTGTTTGGACCTTGGTTCTGGCGCTATTCATGGATCGACATGGCAAATAGAGTGCCTCTTGATCAGTTGCAGGATTCGTTACTCCCTTGTAAATTACAGAATAAACAATGTACATTTGGAATTGATATGTTTGTATTGTTTTACTGTGAGACCAAGGATGGAGCTCATTCAGTGTGCCACCGAGGTGTTGAAGAACACGCATTTGGTGATTATCTAGGAAGCTGGTTGTCTACTCACTAACCTCTTCTCTCGCGTGCAATCATCTTAGTAGAGTGTGAATTTTGAATTGAAATGTATGGGAGCGAGATTCAAATCATTCTCTCCCAGGTTCCTTCACCTATATGGCCACTAACTTATGGAGGGATAAACAAGGCCACCGTTTTCTTGGGACAGTTTTCAAAAAACTCGCAAGCTATAAAAAACAAATAGCTTTAAAATGTACACAATTATAACGTAAACAGTCCCTCTGGATTATGGTAGCCTTATTCCTGTGGATTCACAGATACATAGAGAAAATCAAATGAAATTTTAAACATTAAGTCATAGCTATTCCTAGTGGTATGCCTATTCTAACCCTGAGTTATCTCCCCTAATCCTGACGTCACTGTATTGTTTATCTAGAACCCTTCATAATTTTCACGTCTTACGTGTGGTAAGACGTGCAAAGAATCAGTGAAATTATATTTAAATCAAGTCTTGATTTCATCACAGAAATAGGTCAGTTACAATCGCATTCCACTATTCTCATTACTGATTGATATTATATTAGTGATTTTTTCACGTATTAGGACTTTGAAGTTTTCCCGCCCTTTTTGGATAGATATGGCGCAGAAAAAGTGCCTTCAGTGTCAAAAGTTTATGTCGGACGTGGATCACCACTCTCTTTGTTCTTCCTGTTTTAAGGGTTTACCATGCTCCTTATCTGATCGTTGCCTATTGTGTCCAGAAATGTCAGAGGAAGTTTGGATGATTATGGAAAAATCTCGTTCCTTAGCTAGGAAGCGTAAGAACTCCTCTTCGTCTGAATGCTCTAAGTCAAAGAAAGTAAACACAGGATCACCTCCATTGTCTATTAAATCGGAAACCTAAGTCTCGATCCAGGTCCAGATCTAAGCCCTCTACCCAGTTGGATATGTCTACTTTCTCAGAATTGTTAGCTGGATTTAAGTCCGCTATTCAGGCTGCTATGGACAAGTCCGTACGTGATATGGAGATCAGGAATGATGTTTAAATTAATCGCCTGTGAAAACATCTAGAGGAGCCTTTTTTATCTGGCAAGACGGCAGATAGCCACAGTGACTTGGTGGTCTGTGGCACGAACCGGGGGCCAGAGTCACTTCCAACGGAAAACGGGGGTGCTATGACCCGGAAAGCCGGTTACCATGCCATGGCGTACGTAGGAGGCCCGTCCCCTCAGGGGAAGAAGCCTAGTGCTTCAAGCGACGGGAACGGAGTCGGCTTAACCGGCTTCTGGTCCGGGGTGACTGTGGCTCCGTGGCTTTTCCCAGTCGCACACAGCCGGCTACCTTCTCCCATGGGGAGACCAGGCTGCATGGGTTTCACGGGTCGGACACGGTCCAGACTGCACATGGTTCACGCCCCGGCTTAAGCCAAGCCACTGGGTCGGCGGATAAGGATACCGGTTTATCAACCCAGCTGTCTGATTTGCACAGGCCTAGCGGTTCAGAGGACACGGCTACGAACCCGCACGGTTATTTTGACACGGACAATCCGGCCTTAATTCCGTTAGTGTCTGATGTGACTGGTCAGGACACTTCATTGGTTTATCCATTCTCACAACCAGATTTTGCCATGAGAGAGGGGTTGTTGACGGTACAGCGAATGGACATATCGGCAGATGATTTTAAGTCGGGTTGGACATTTAAGGAAAACCTGGAACTTTTGCACGGACTTTATCCTAATACACTTCCACGCCCATCTGAGGAACAGGAGATAGAGATACCCGTGGAACTGGGCTTATCGGGATGCTTACCCCCTGAACGGCTCCCCAAGCTGTCTTTACCGCACTCATCGTCACTAAAGGAAGTGTTGGAGAATTACAATTTAGGCCTCTCCAAGACTACGAGCTTGAGTTCTTTGCCTAGGGTTTCTCATAAACCTTTTTATTCCATTCTTGATCGTCTTATCCCGGCCTGTCAACCGAATCTAGACAAGGACTTTAAACAGTTGCAGGATGTCAGAGGCTTTCGGGAGCAAGGGCCTGCTTGTACTTACAAGGATTTCAAGGAATTGGACACGGCGACTTCGTTCGACTATTGATACTCTGTCTTATTTAAACTGGTTTTCCGCGGGAGTTCGTGCCTTGCTTCCTCCAGTGTTTCAAGATTATACGGCGGTTAAAAGGACACTTTGGTTTCCATGACTGCTCAGGAGGTGGCGTTGGCGCATTCATTCCTGGATGTAATATATCAGTCCTTAGCGGATGCTATGGCCACTCAGGTGAATATTTTGGGATGCCTTACGGTTATTGAACGAATCCAGCTGCTGAATTTGTGGGATGTTTCAAAGGAGACTTTGTTTCAACAATCTCTGGGATCGGAGAGCACATTTAATGGGCAATGTCAACAGGCTATTGAGGCTTGCGATGCTTTGAATTCGAGGAACTTAAATCAGCGGTTGGCGCTGGCACTCTTATTCCAAAATAGGCCTGGAAGGGGTTCCAGTGTTATGTCTTGATCTACTCCGCCGTCATGGCACCATAAACTGAGTTTTCAACGGTCTGTATTTGATCGTGGCTCAGACTCTAGAGCTCGTTCGCAGTTGTCTCCTTTACTAGAGGCTCAACCTCATCTAGAGGTAGGGGTAGGGGAGGTAGATCTTTTCGTGGATCAAGATCAGCCTCCAAGAGATATTGACTTAGGTCTCACTGTACGTCATTTTCCTCCTAACGAATCGGAAACGTCCCTCGATGTGAATTTGATTCTGGATTTTGTACGTCCAGTAGGGGGCAGATTGTCCCAGTACAAGGACAATTGGTAGTTAATAACGTCAGACGAGTGGATACTGTCAGTTGTGAGCAGAGGTTTTATACTTCCCTGGGACAAGCGGCCTCCAGTGACTTGTTTTCCGGAGGGTCGTCGGTTTGTTCTTCAAGGTCATCGATAAGCGGGAGCAAACTTAGCAATAAATCAGCTTCTGGAGAAATGGGCGGTCATAGAACTTCATCCATCGGATCAGACATGCGGGTTTTATTCACCGGTATTCCTAGTTCCCAAGAAGGACACGGACGAAATGCGCATGATAATATACTTGAAGGTGTTAAACAAGCTATATTTTTCCTTATCCTGACTCATGCTACTTGCTTGTCTTCTTCTTCTTGCGAACACAGTGGAACACTTGTATCTCCCAATTGAAGTTCCCTTCAATGTAAAATCACTAATTAGTACTCACCACGAGTTATCTGTCCCCTCAAAAGCGCGGGAACGAGGGCGCCACCTCCTGCCATGTGCCTCACTCTCTCCTTCTTCGCCCAGTGAGCAGGACGTGAGAGAGCCTGTGTCTCCCTACACATTATATCCTTTATTTAGTTGTTTACCTCTTATAATCATCTACAGAGGTGTAACTAGTATCCTTATACATGATGCATTGATATTTATTCGTGTTTCTACTGTTTTATTCACAGTTCGCCGTGTTTGCTCAGTAGATTGCGTTAATGAAAATCTGCACTGTTTGTAAATTACGTTTCTCTGCTGCTGATCCGCATTTAATATGCCCTAGTTGTATTACGCCATGCTCTACTGTTTCACGTTGCAATCATTGTATTAAATTATCTAATTCTGCCTTTGATAAATATTTATTTTGCGTCTTGAGACGCGCAGCAGATAGATTACGGAAACAGTCTTCAGTCATGGCTAATAGATCAGAGTCTGATATACCATGTCAACTGTTGGCGGATGACCCCCTACCGTCTGGTGTTCCGCTTGAGTTGCCCTTGGGGGAGAAGCGTGGGACGCAGTCCGCCATCTCCAAGAAGCGACCTGCATCCCAGGACATCCCGTCATCCCAGTCTAAGACCAGGAGAGCTTCTACGTCGTCACAACGTACGCTCCGCACCCCCAGGGCTACATCTTCGTCGAAAGTGAAACCTACGAAGACTACTAACAATTTTTCATCTGACATTCTTCCTGTTTCAGAATTGGGCTTATATGATGAGGATCTACCGATCATCATTCCAGATATATGGCATAAGAAGCGACCAGTATCGGCTACCGTCACCTCAAGCAGATCAACACACAGCTAGAGATGCCTACACTGGCGGCAGAGAATCTACCTGAGGGTCCCGTGGCTACCATACAGAGGGCAGCGTCTACATCAGCGCAGACCGTCCCAGACGACCTGGTCAGCCAGATTATGATGTTGATGGAAGATCGATACGGTTTACAGAGGCCTCAGAGCCGCTGGCCCCAGAGCCCAACCCACTTACAGTCTTGTAGCGCCCCAGAGCCCGTTTGCTTGACTTCGCGTAGGGCCCCAGAGCCCACAGACGAGCCTCCATGAAGGGCAACCCAGCCCGTATCGAAGCCTTCGCGAAGGACGTCCTAGTCCGCCTCCACGAAGGACCCAGATCCTCACCATTCGCGAAAGGCTTCACGGAGGAGGAGTGCTTCACCGAGCTCAGACCCTGAAGAACACAGAGGTCGTTCGCGAAGCAGGCTCCTATCTAATGATTCGGACTCTGACTCGATACCTTCACGAAGGTTAAGTGGCTCCAAGTCATCTTCATTCAGAAGATCTATAAAGGGATTCACCGAGAGCTTCACGAAGCCACCATCGTTCGCCATGGAAGTCTCCACGAAGGTCTCCCTATAGAAGCCACTCGTCAGTCTGTTCAAGACATCTTCGTCCTATAGTTTGTCGAGGGATTCATTATGACCTTAGCGAAACTACAGGTCACCCTACAGTTCGTCGGGCTATTCACCATGTCGATCCCCTCGCCGATTTACACACAAGTTTCCAGCGAAGCAGAGACATCACAGTACTTGTCTATCAACTGTATGCCACATGCCGTCTACAAGCCTACGCGAATTACTGAGCCTGCGCGAAGGTATTCGCACAGACATCCACAAGACAGAGATGTCGCAGTACATAACTTTTTAACTT